TTAGTTTGAATTTTAGAAGTAAAAAATGTATACATTTAGCACTAAGAGTTTATTTATTTTGATATTTTATTTTAAAGTTTTTGTTGTCTTCTCTCACCATTTTTGATATGAGTGTTTAATTTTATTTTTGTATTACAGAATGCATGATGTTTTTCTCAACCATATTGTTTGCATTATTTCTGCTTCCCATATTCAGAATACCTTGAAATATTGTAGTTCAATTAGTAAGTATGTGAAAAATTAGCTCTCTGAATGTTTTATTTATGTGGACAATGAATTAATATCACTTGTGGATATTATACGACTTTAAATTGGACAATATATGCATGCTTATACTGGCATGCTGCATTGACATTTTATTTTGCCGATTTATATGTTTTTCTTCAACTCACATGTCAAACACTGTTCTAATGCTACAATCATCATATGAGTTAATACTAAACGCAAAAGAAGACAAAAAGACAACTAAAAAAATTAAAGAAAAGAAGGTATTGTAATTTTTTGTGAATTAAGTAGTGCATGTAGTGTTAAAGAAATAGATTGAACCAATATGATCTTACTTTATTTGGAGATTTAAATTCTAAAATAGCACTATTTATTTATTTATTTATTTAGTTTTAACGCATAAGAATAGTGCAGTAAATATATAACACAGTTTGTGCAGAGAGAATGAGTTGCCTTTGAATATCTCACTTCCAACAAAATTATGAAATACCACCAAAGATTGTGGCGAAGCTCGGGTATATAGTTGCCTTTGAAGAATCGGATAGTTGATTCATGAGATTTTGACCTCGAACTTTGGGCATGAGTTGCCTCCGAAAGGGAGTACTTTTAATCATAAAGTGGAACTCCTTTAGCGTGAATCCGAATTAGCCAAGCCTCAAAACAAATATCATACATTATATGACAAAGCAAAAACAATAGAAATAATAAAATTTGAGTACGTGTTTTGCCATAAAAGAAATCAAAATAAAGCAGTATCGAAATACCCAAAGAAACAAAGAATAGTGAAATCAATTAACATTACAAAAAGGATTCGACCTTGCTTGCTGGAGGAGAAAGCTGCTGAAAAAAATTTAATATTGATCATGGAATTTGTGGAGGATTTGATAGTATTTTTGATGTATTTTGGGAGATTATCATGTGTGATTATTATTTTTGTTAAAATTTTTTAGATGTTAAGTATTACATATCTCGACCGTTTGTGTGAAGAGGTAAATGTCTGTTGTTAAAAATTATAGGAAAGTTTAAGTTATAAAGGAAAGTTGAAGGAGAAAATAATTTTCAACTCAAGTTTTTTATATTACTCCTCAATATTAGACAAAGATGAGAAAGTAGGTCTCTTTAATTGTCTTCACACTTATACCAAAATACTACTAACAAAATAAACTACCAAAACCTTTTCCGAAAGGAATAAATAAACCAGATATGATTTAAAACTAGAAAATCAAAAGTAAGATATTCACAGCCTATTTTTTGTTTTTTCAACCTTTTAAATATTAGAAGAAATTTATTCTTTAAATATAATGAGATTTTTTATATCGCGCAAAGCGCGATAAGTTCACTAGTAAGGATATAAAATTTTGATTGAAGTTTGGATGCGGCAAGATTATTTTTTTTCTTTCCAAAATTATTTTGGTGAAATTTATCTTCTTTTTACTTTATTTTTAAACCTCTTGTGAATTGAAATACTATTACATGCCTCATCGCCCAACTCCTGAAGAAGAACTGACAAGTTAATTTTTATTATAAAGAATTATTTGTGAAATGCTTACTAATTTTTACCCTCTGATTCAGATTCCATATTTTATTGCTGACCCAAGATTTTACATATGTTTTGTCTATTTTATGATATTATGTATGTTTGGTGTATCGTTTAAAAGGTAAAATCTTGGAGGGGAGGATAAGGTTTTTTACTTTTGAAGAATACAGAGTTTGAGATAATATATTATTTTTTGGGGGTACTTGCTCCATTATCCACTATTATATTGCAAGGGTTAAAGGTTAGTGCATTCAAACACATATTACTATTATGACTTGTAGGTTGGCTGTAGGATGTAGCACACGTTTTAATTACTATTTTGTAGTTTCAGCTGTAATCATTCATTATTTTCCAACCCAATGAAGTATCTTTTATATATTTACCAATTTCTAGCTGTTTATTTTCTTTGAATTTGGTTCATTACTTCTCTATCTTATAATTATATCTTTTCCTCTCCATCATATAAATATTTAATAGTTATAACTTTATGTTGAGAATATTATTAGGTCTCATTTTCTATCAGTTAGTTTTACTCTCTAATTATGTGTATTAATATTATTACGTTGATTCTTTATTTCTTTAATTTGTTTATTGAGCTTCCTTTAACTTTCTTTTTGTTGGCGCAACAAACATATGAGAATATTATTAGGTCTCAGTTTCTGGAGTACTAGAGTTTGGAAAGGTAGGAGAGAAAACTTCTGCATGCAATTGTATAATTTTAAACAAATTATTTGTGGGTCAAATATACCATGCATGTCAAGGGAACTTTCTTACAAGAGCCGTATGGTACAAAGCGAGAATATCTCAAAATCGAATTAAATAGTCCAACACTCCATCTTGCAGTTATGTTACCCAACTCCTGTAATTCACTTTTGATTCATGTAACTTAGTTACTGCCTAAAACAAGATGATTGGAAAGTAAAACGATGATTGCATTGGAATGATATAATTTATTGCACTTGAAACACTATTAATTTCAAAAAGAAACTGATTAGTTTAGATATAAAGTTTTAGGGAAGAAACTCTGCCATTATAAATTTTCAAAAACGAATGTGATACTTTTATTTTAATATGTATTTTATAATACAATGTTTTTGTTATTATATTTAAATATGTATTTTAAAAATTTTATTTATTTTCTTATAGATATTTTTTTTTTAAATTTTCATAATATAAAAT